AGAACTCATAACCCACCTGCTCTCAGCAGCCAGAAACATCATAACCAGACACTGGAGAGACCTGTCAGGAGTAAGCATGGACCAATGGTACCAAATAGTATGGGAAACAGCCCTACTAGAAAAATTAACTAACAAACTGAAATTGACACGGGGAAGAACGCCTTCCCCCGGTATGGCTCCCTCATACACAGCCAACAGGACAGTGACAATAATCCACCAACACAAATCAATATGAACCTGATCCAAAACACCACCCACCTCACACCACGAAAACAAAGATCACCACAGCCAATCACAAGCAAACAATCACACCCTAGGCCAACCCAACCTCTCTCACCACCAAAGGAACACCGCCACCCGACCCCACCCCTATCCATCCTCCCTCTCTCCACCCCCTCTCTTTTTCTTTTTTCTTTTCTTCTCCCCCTAATGCCTCAACAAATGAAACGGATTTGTAAAAATGTTACATGGAAAAAAAATTACGAGTCACTACACTTCTGTAAAACAAGAAAATCCTGAATAAAATATATACTAGAGCTTCAAAAAAAACAAAAAACCACAAAAACTCTACTATAAAATAAATAAGACAGTATTGTAGATGATAAAAATAAAAATTTATTTTTTCCCCTTACCTGCACTGATGATAGTCATTGTTTGGACGGGGGGCTTTTATCCATTTCCGCAGTCACACAGTCAATAAATCGTATCAGTAGCTGAACTGGGTTCCACACAGTCAGAAACACAAATTAACTGAAAAAGCCTCAAAAACAAAAATGCAAAATAAATAGCAAAAACAAAAGCGCCAAATACACTTGTACCTTGGTTCTTGAACTTCATCTGCTCTGAAAGTCAGTTTCACTTCCGAAATGTTTGAAAACCAAGGCACGGATTCTGATTGCTGCAGGTGTCCTGCAAACAATAGCCGACAGACGTTCAGCTTCCAAAAAACGTTCAAAAACAGGAACACTTCTGGGTTTTTGGCGTTTGGGAACCAAGGCATTTGAGAACCAAGGTACCACTGCATATCACAGCCTTTCATTTAGAAACTGCAAAAAAGAGGAAATGTTTAACATGATGGGGAAAAAGATGGTGATTGCGATACAACAGTGGTGAGAAAACCTTAAAATCTTAAATTGCTACCTACATGAGCTAAATAAGCGAATTAGTTGATCTGAAGATGTTAGCTGCAGGATAATCCAGAGAGTTTACATTCAGCCCATACTCAGACTTACGGTTGTCCGAAGTGAGGCCTCCCTGGGTTTTCGGTGTTTGGGAACCAAGGCACCACTGTACAAAAGTACTTGTATGGGGGGACGACGACACAATAATGGAAAATTCTGCGGAAGAAAGACTCTGCAGTGGCAGGCACAGATGTCTTCCCTTCACCCCCCATGCCTGTTATTTGTGGCACAAAACAAGGATGCCAGTTGACGCTTTGCTCTCTCCCTGGCACCGCTGGCAGTGGCTTTGTGGCAAAGTAATAATAAGGAGGGATCCTGGAAGAGAGCAAAGAGCTGGGAATCCAGTTGGAAATCCAGCCGTGGCACTGCCAATTTTGAAATTGGGGGGGGGGGTTCCCTGAAACTTTGATGACTCTGTGCTCATGTGCCTTAATACCTGTCCCAGGCAGTGCCCCTTCCGATCGTCAGGAGGAGGGGGGGTTGCGGGATCGCGACACCACCCACACTCGCCCTCGCGAGGCTGGTGCCAGCCTCGCGGGAGGCCGCCGGGATTCCCCCAACTAACATCCCCTTGGCGCCAGCCAATCGGCTGGCGGCAGGGGCGGGCCTTAGAGAGGCCACTTAAGGTCGGGGCAGCCCTTGGCTCGCCCCTTTTCGCCCGGGAGACGACGCGGTTTGAACAGCCTCCGTCACGAGAGCGTTCACCCCTTTTGGATTGCAGCGCGCGAAAAACCATTTCGCAGCAAGCAAGCGGCCGCTCATCAGCGGAGCCCCGCTCATCAGCTGTTCGGAGCAACAACAATTGTTCCGCAGTTAGTGAGCGCCCGCTCATCAGCTGAGTCCCGCTCCGCTCATCAGCTGATCGGAGCGCAGCCGATCGGAGCGAAAAACATCCGTCTACAGCCCAGCCGATCGGCAGCCTGCCTGTGGCCGATCTTCCTCCGAGTTCGCAAGCGGCCGCTCATCAGCGGAGCCCCGCTCATCAGCTGTTCGGAGCAACAACAATTCTTCCGCAGTTAGCGAGCGCCCGCTCATCAGCTGAGTCCCGCTCCGCTCATCAGCTGATCGGAGCGCAGCCGATCGGAGCAAAAAACATCCGTCTGCAGCCCAGCCGATCGGCAGCCTGCCTGTGGCCGATCTTCCTCCGAGTTCGCGGTAGCTTACGCCGGGCGCCTTCCAGCGTTACAGGACTCGTCGCCTCGTTGCACCGGACCGATCAGGTTTTTTCCTTGGGCTTTCCAGCGCCGCTGTATTTCGCGCGGCGGGCGCCGCCTCGGGGTGGGGGGCCCACGGTGTTGCTAGTATCGCAGGCGCCAAGGAGCGTTTCTCCACGTCCTTCTAGGAGCGTAACCACGGGTGGCGGGGGCTGGTAGTGAGCGTTCGCTTATTGCGGTGATTGCAAGGGAGGAGTCTTTTTTTTAGTTCTTGTTGGTCGTTGTGGGTGCTTGTCGCTGACCAGGGGGCCGCCAGCCCGGTGCTTTATTTGGTGCTTTATTGTAAACCCATTCGGGGGGCTTGCTCTCAGTTGCTGAAAAGTGGTTTGCTTTGCCTTTTAAGAGTGTAAGCGGCACCGTTGCTAGGCGACGGGTTGCTTCCGGCCGCCATTTGCTTCTGCCCACGTGGTCTGGTGACGGCCGCCATTTTGCCATAGGCAGCCAGGTCTGTGAGTCCCCACGATACACAAGGCCGTGCAGGCTGCCCTCGACAACACAGCAGCAGCTTAGCAGCAGCAGCAGCAGCAGCAGCGCATAAAGGGGGGATTCTGCTGTGGGTCTGCATAAAAGTTTATTATACAGTAAAATTAAATCGTATACCTTACTTACCCTCAGAATAGCATTGTGGTTGGTTTACGCGGTATTATTGCAGGTTTCATAGGTTATAAATAAATTAAATTGAGCTGATTTATATTTTGGTAACATTACAAAGGTATTTAAAAAGGATTTTGGTGGTTTATAAGGCAATCCCCAGCTGTTCAATCAATTGTACTCTGGGCAAACATTTAAATACAGGGCTCTGCCAGGAGATTCAATTAGCGTCGCCATAGGAACGCCTGTGTGGTGGCATTGAAGGTTTGCCATTGCTGCTGATTAGCTCGTTTGTTGCCCTAGAAACCCTATTGTCCTGCAAGCTAGAACCCCTATTGTCCTGCAAGCCAGCAGGACAATTGAAGGCTAACGACCAGTGATTAGGGCCATTGTTTCTCAGAGGCATACTTAGCGGCTTGCCTGGCAGGGAATTCTTACTGAGTTTTCCCAGGTTTCCAGCCAACCACCAACTATAGCAGGATAGTGAGATAGTGGTCGTACCACAGTAGCATAAATACAGTTAAGCAAGTATTCATATACATATAATATATATACCTAGATAAATAATAAAAAATAAATAAATAAATAATAAAAATAATAATAAATAATAATAATAAAATAATAATAATATAAATAATAAATAAATAAATAAATAAATATAATAATAATAAATAATAAATAAATAAATAATAAATACTCGATTGCAAACTTGATGCCCCCTTCAGGCGCGCTTTCGGCTTGGACATGGAGAGCAACAGCAACCCCCAACAACCTCAACTTGGCAATGCCTTAATGCCAACAGGCCCAGGTAACCCGCAGGTCGTGGCGCAGCTCTTTTCCGCGCTGCAAGCATTCTACGCGCAGTGCAGAGCACCTATCACTCCCTCACCGAACATTGTCGAGTTGACACAAGATTGCATACCAGACACCCCCCCAGCCAGCAGGGTCAGGATGGTCCCCACTAGTGCAGCTAGCGTGGTTGAGCAGGCCCCCAGCAGGCCACGGACGCGCTTG